AATGAAGACGAGTTACAAATCAGTGATAATTCATTCGCAATCGACTGTCTCTATTGGCATAACGTGTTTCGGGCCAAACATGGGTCGCCCCCACTGTCCATCTCCTATAGACTGGTGAATATGGCACAGGAATGGGCCAACTATTTGGCGCACACCGACTCATATAAGTACCGCAACAGTGAGGGCATTGGCGAGAATCTGATGTGCAAATGGACGTGTCATCCAGACTTCGATCCCCCAGGCATGGCATGGCTACCAGTGCTCACACATACATTCATATGATATGATAGATTAAGGATATACACCACAAAATGCATTACAAATAACGCTAATATTGATGACAATAGAAAACATATTAATATAACTCAGAGACAGCAAAACAGATGAGATATAAAAGAAAAGCGAAAAACGCAAAACTATAATACAATTTATTACGATATTCTGTGTTATTTATATCATATATCATATTATATATCACTTCTGGTATTATTTTCTCTTTATTCTTAATCATATCATACTTTTCAGGCGAAAGTATCGTCAAGTTTTGGTACTCGGAGATTGAGTTATACAACTTCACCATTGATCCCTCCATCATGCATACCCTGGCCAGTGAGTATGCCATACAATTTCCCCCTAACCATACACAGTATATACACAGAATATTTTCAATTTAATTTACTTTTTTCACTCGCTTTCTAAATGCTTAATGCATTTCACTACTACTCCTGCGATGAATACATAAATTAATACTGCATTTGATATTATGAGGGCATAAATTGAAATGTTCGTAATATGTAGCCCAAAAAAGTTTATATAATATTCATTGCATTAAAGGAGAAGTAGTCGTAAACTGTCTGAACCGAGCAGTCTTTGAAGAGACGCTTAAAATCAAAGACAGAAATTTGCTTATGATTTGTGTATTTTTCAATAATAGCTTTTTATATTCACATTTCTTACTAGTATTTTGCTTTTGGGAGCACTTATGGTAATAAAGAGCTAGAATTTTATTTACGAATCATTTGAATACCTATTTTAAACCCAATCAGTATTTTTCTGTACGAAGTTATCAAATGTATTATTATTAGTTAAGTATAGAAATTGACTTTCGGTATAAAATTTCAAAATGAATTTCATGACCTATTGTGTTATAAAAACAGCGTATAATGTAATGAGAAAAAGAGTTTTTATTAACTATTTTTTAGTATTTATTTCAGACCCGAAAAGCCATAAAAATTTATCCTATTTTACGACCGGAGAGTACAGAAAAGAGTTTTCTTTTTCTCGGGTATAAAACTGAAGGCAAACCTTCAAAAAATAGAGTAAAACTCTAAAAAACGGAGACTTCAAATGAAACACAAAAAATAAACTAAAAATCAATAAATAAAAGTAAAACTTTTTTCGTTTTGTGTGAATTACGAGTGTCTATAATAAAAAGGGGAAATACTTAATGAACTATCCGTTAGAAGTTGACGTGACTTTAGATTTTTTGTTGGTTTATATCTGAAACACCAAATTGAACCCAATTTCAGATCATTTCACACAAATCGTATGGAAGAGTACTGTGGAGTTTGGCATTGGAAAGGCTCACACCCGGGGCGGCAAATTGATCGTGGTCGCCAATTATAGACCGGCCGGCAATATTATCGGCGGCTTTCATCAAAATGTTTTGCCACTCATTAAGGATGACAGCAGTAAGAAGAGTGCGGACGACAACAACACCGATGATATGGATTCACTGAATGAGACATCCATTCAAAGTCAAAGCCTATTAAATCATTAGTTGTGTGAAAATGCATTCATTATTAATGCCTATATTAGGTCTTAATTGTAGGTTTATTCACAACATTAAATCAATATACGGTATCATCTAAGTTAGATATTATAGTTATTATACTGTAGTCACAAGGTATCCTATCAATAATTATTTATTGATTTATTTATTGCATTCACATTTTTTTATAAAATTCTAAATTTCATTTTATAAATAACATTACCATTATACTATATTATACTATACCATTCAATTTGTATTATATCTTTTTATTATTTTAGTTTGATTTTTATTTTAAATACTATAATTTATAATACCAAGTATAATCTGTATATTAAACATATAACCACTTTGTTATTAATTTTGACAAATACAGTATTTTTATTTTTAAATAATTATATATTATATTTTCTTATATTAATATATAAAAACTAACTGCTAAATTAGATTTATTATGAAAATAAAACAATTAATCAAAACGAATAAAAATAAAAGATATGATAAAAATTTTATATTCAAACTTAATTTAGTTTTATATTTTCTTTATAGTTGTAATCAATTATTTAAGTAGAAAATTGTTTCAAACAATTGTTACGTCTATAGTCTCATCAAATATTGATCCTATAGTTAGACAACAGTGGCATCGATTCAATTGTGACCTTTCAAGTGATCAGATTTTTTTGGTTATCATGTCTTATATTAAATGGACTCCAATTTGTTACACTATCTCTCTAACCATTTAATAGTTTTGTGACATTTGACGGCTTATCATAGATTTGGGCGAAATATCAAAGCTTTATAGCGAAATAAAATTCAATTTTGGATATGTTTTTATCAAATCAATCATTTTATGTCAATTTTTCAAATTTAATCGCTTTTTATGTTATATTTATTTATCATAATATTTATTTAAAACTTATTAATTAAATTGTTTATTTATTACTAAATATATTAAATATATAATTTATAAATATATGAGATTAATAAATATAATAATTGGTGACATAATAGAAGTCATATACTGTTTGCCTCAAAAGGACTGCCACAACAGAAATCACTTCTAATATCTCATTACTATTGCAATCGGAAGTAAACTTTTCTTTTGTATCCATTTATTACTTTATAGATAAGTAAAAATGAATTAAAATATATAACTTTCCAACAGGAAATTTTTTATAGCAATTTAAGTTTAACTATTTTAAATGTTAACTTATCAATTGTTATTGCATTTTAGATCGAGATTTTTGTTATTTTTTATATCAGCATAAATAATCAAGGAGAAATCATATTGAAAGATTATTTTACATTTCTTAATATAAAACTAATTAGTTTTGTCCATTTTTAAAGCATCTGGGAAAAATTAATAAGTTAAAGTTTTTAAAATGCCTTTTTACTTAAAGACAATATTTGATAATGCAATTTAATTAAATTAATTTAAAAACTACAAATCAAGTTATTTTAAATTAGATGTACCGGTAATAATTTACTAGAAAGATAAAGATTCATCAAATTTATACAAAATTTAATTCAGTAATAGCAAAAAGAATAGTTAATGTAATAATATGAGATAAATTAGATTTATTTGAGTTTTATTTGTGAAATATATATTTCTTTTATATTGAAGCCATTCTCCGCGGATTCAATACATGTGATGACAGAAACGACTTATTTTTTATACACTTTTGAAAGATATTTTGACAATATTTGTGACATTATTAACAAAGAGACAAACTATAAAATATAGACAATATTATAGTTCAATAGCATTATGAAGACTTCAATTTTGTCACAAATATATTGCCAAATGTTTGATAGTTTAGTGATATGTAAGAACTCACAATTCATAGATTCTACATTAACTAGATCATTATTGTTCATTGAATTTAAAAAAATAATTCTGGATATTATTACATTTGTATTATACTTTTAATAAAGTGAATTATAAGTAATAATTCAAAATTATATATTAAAGGTTATGAATAAAAATCATGTTACTATGATAAATACATTGGAAATAATTTGTAAAGACATTATTGTAATGTTATTTTATGTAATACATTTTAGTGGTTGGTATAACCACACCGACTATAATAAGGTTATATACGAATGAAATGTAATCATAAGTAATAACACAAACATTGATAGTAATGAAGCGAATACTTTGATTATAAGTGTAAACACACTATCATTATAATGATTTGGACACACTTTTGTCTATAAATTAACTTAGCATTGATTATTTTGACCATTACATACACAATGTTATTTTTTCAATAACATCTTGTTAGTATAAATTATTTTCATAAGGGATAGTAGATTACAAGTTAATTTTTATATACAAAAGTATTCTTGTATTATTCTTACACAGGTATACAGTACTTATATTTTATTCAATAAAATTATTTATTTATAAGCCTATCAGACATACACTTTAACTAAACACCTATTCTTTATACTCATTTATGTTTAATTATATAAGTTTATATATCATTATTGTTGTAAAAATATATAGATATAATATCAAGACTAATGGTATAAAGCATTTATCGATATAACTAAATGTAAAGTCATAATAAGCATAAATTTCATTTCAAAAACATTTTCCATATTAAGAGCGGATTTTACTTTAAAACCATTTTCTATTTATATGATTGAACCCAAAATATACAGTTAAATAACAGAATAAATATGAAATATAAATAAAATATTTACCAAATAAATCATTAAGAAAGCAATTTTGTTAGCATTTAACTCTTATTTTTGGGTAATTTTGTCTGAAAGTTAGGTTCAGAAAGGCTTCCCTTTTGATAACAACTCTTTTTAAGCCATTATCCAATGAAATGAATGAATGCGAAACATAACAACAAAACATACATTAAATGCCTTTAACTAATGAATACCAAACATATTATTCCCACAAATATTTTATTTATCAATCAAATGCACTATTATTTACTTGAATGCTATCCAAATAGTAGGAAGTTTTTGCACAAAACTATTAAACTATTTATAATTCAATGTTTCATTATTAGATTAATTCAAATAGTTTTATTTACGGATTCACGGTATTCATCTGTTTCAGACAAATATTTCACCATATATTTAATAGACTCTATTACATAAGTATCAAGGTATTTTTTATACATACTTACATTCTTGGAATTTAACTAAATTTTCTAGATATCATTACAAATACTAGTTTATAACTTTTATTTATAAACTTTGAAAACAATTATAAATTATAAGTTAGACTGCTTGTATTCCCATTATTTTACGTGATCTAATAAATGATACTGTATAAAAATTGATGAACATAAATTTAGTAATCATCGCGTGTTAAATAATAATCCACAATTTGTTTACTGTAAATAGAAAGTGTTATATGCAAATTGTAAATCTAAACAGTAATTTGAAATACCAATTTCAATAACTATCACTAATTTGATCTCTTAATTAGCATACTATTTGACATATAATACGAACAATTGATAACTAGATGTCAATCATAGAGGTTGTGTTTCTTATACTAGTACTCATAGTAGCGGTGATGTATGCCTCGTGTGCTATCGCTTATGTATACTTCCGGAACGACATCTCTAAGGCATTCAGTGAAATGGGATCCATATCTGAGAGCGATATTCGCAAAGCTAAGGCCAAAATCCGAGACCTCGAGGCCAACAGAATTCATAACAAACACAAGAAATTTCAACAGGTGTTTTTAGTACGGTTTGGAGTGGTGTTCTTATTACTCTTCTTTCAGTCAAGTTTTGGCCACCAATTTGGGTTTCTCGTCGTGTTCCTATCCGGCTTCTTCTTCCACAGAAGTCTGAAACCTAAACCACAACCACATAAAGACAAGCATAAGGAGTCGGGAGGTTTGGGTGGTTCCACAGAGGAGTCTAAACCTGTGATCAAAGATAAGCCAAAACCAAAACCACCGGAAAAGGTTGTGTCCGAAAAGGTGAAGGAGAAGTCTGCAGACAAAGCAAAGCCTATTAAAGACAAAAGTATTAAAGAAATAGCCGTAA